CAGAAGTGCTTGCCACCCCTTGGCAGTGCACAGGGACTTAAGGGGCAGGTCTCAGGTTGTAGAGGTGTGATGGAGAGTTTACCAACACAGCATGTTTGGGGTACAGGGCACGGCTTGAATGAAAAACTGAAGTTTCCTCTATTTTCAGTTTCAGCTCTGACTTCTGTTTCCTCTGCTGGGTGCCTCCATCCCATCCTGCCACCTCCTTGGTTTCTCAATTTCCCTTCAAAGGCAAACCCAACAACCATGGGTTACAGGCACACTACTGTGGAACAAACCACAAAAATGCACTTTAGTGACTGGGGGGATCCCTCTTGAACCCAGAAGTTTATTAGCATTGAGAAGATGTATATGTTGTTACATACAGACAGTGCATCAAAATATCCAGATGTCAGTGAGAGCTAGAAATGGAAAGGTCATAAACTAGGTGACCCAGGATTCTGTGATGTCTCAGGGATGGAGAATGGGAAGCTCAGGTACAGCCAGGGGCCACGACCCCTTTCTGCACTGGAAGATAAACAACTCTTACATCTGGGGTGAGGATGGACTATAATTCCTAAATTTTTCCCTTTCCCCCTGCAAATTTTATTTAATATGACCTAAATATACATTCCCATTTTATTCCCCCCACCCCACCCTTACTATACAGCAGGGAAAATAAGCACCAATAATAGCAAGAATAATAATTAAAGTCCTGTCTCTAAATAGATCTAACCCTCACAGATATACATGTCATGTGGATTTTCTTCTTTGGAGTGACTATAGGATGGAAAAGTAGGGGATCAGGCCAGCAAGCCATCACCCTGTCAGTCACTGTTCCTCAAGTACCATCCACATGAGAGCTGGAGCAGGTTGGGGGAGAGGAAACGATGGAAAGGAGGAAAGATCCTCCCAAAGCAGCAAGAAGGGTGAAGAAGTTCCCCAAAGTCTCTTCTGGACAAATGTCACAATCAACTGTGCTCTTGGAAAGTCTCATGCAAGGGTACCTTCAATGAGATGATCAGTTCCTGATGGTTTGAGGATCACTGCCATCTGCCCCCCACCCTCTGCCCTACCTTCTTGGGGAAAAGGGGCATGGATGAAATCCCCTACCCTCCCCACTGGGTGGGGAATGTCCCCAAAATGCTCCTTTGGAGAAATTCAACATGAGAAATAGCACATGGGCACTCTGGTTTAAAAAGCACAAAACATAAAGGGGGAAAAATAAAACAAAAGAGACATAAGTACTCTCAGAAGATCTACACATGGGGGGGGGGTCCAAAATTACAAAAACAAAAACAAAATAAAGCCAGAGAACCACACACTGTCTACCCATTTCCACACACCTGAGTCACCCGGTGTTTGTCTTCAATACCTGGATATCTTCTATTGTTGCTATCATGGGGGTGGGAATGGGTAGTGCAAGACAGTGGGAGTGGAAAGAAGGGAAAGAGAGAGGGCCCTAGGCAGTTGAGATGCCAGCCCTCTGCACAAGCAGCAGTGATTTTTGTATCATCATTTTTTTTGTTTAAAACTGTAAACAGCACCGCTTAAAAACCAATCAGGAAATCATTGATAAACATTATTTTCCATGAATATAAAATGCAAACAATACAAAAATAGATAATTGACTTTTGATATATATATATATTAAAAACAACTTGGATGTAACACACATGGGTAAACTTGAAGTCTCCCTGCGAAACCCCTATGCCTCCCTCTAGCAACTGGGCTTGGGGGCCAAAGGCAGGTGGGGTAGTAGCACTGGCCTAGTGGGAAAGTTGCTGGCAGCAGGATGAAGGGTACATACCCAGCCTCCTGGGCACAGCACTGAGGAGGGAGGGAGATTGGTGTTTATCAAAGCCTTTATTCCAGGAGGCTTGTGGTCTGTCACCCAAACTAAGGCCAAATAGGCAGGGCTTCTCTGGAGACTCTAAAGCACCAAGAAACTGCCATCCCAGTCCTGGAAGAGACCTGCTAGGTGGCCTTGTCTATCCACATTCATTGGTCCCCCAAGGACCGGTCACATCTGGGAATTCTCAGGATCAGAGCTGTCTGGCACTAGATAGGCCTACTAGGTAGTAAGATGAAAACAGCTACCTCCTCTCAAATCCCATTTTCCTTTGAAGTCACATCCAAAAGCATTATCCCAGGACCTTGCAAAAGAGACAAGGTGTTCATCTGGTCACAGCCTGGGAGGTAGCCCAGGTAGTGAACATGACTTAATACCTTTAATAGTCTGAAGCATATTTGGTGTCAGCCAAGCCAGCATTGGCCTGTGTTTGGGGAGAGACCTGAAGCTTGGCTGGCTTTCTCAGTGTCACCCTGTGCTGACATCACCATCTGTTACCAGCCAGGTCTTCCTTCTTCCTGTAGGCAATAACCGGGGTTTAGTTATGAACTGCTCGGCTCGAGACTCAAAGGAGTCTGCCTCTGCAGCCATGCAACCTGATTTCCCAATTCTGGCGGTGAGGATCCTGTCCCTGGGCTGGCTGAGGCAGTGAGGCGACTTACAGGCAGTAATACTGTCCAAACCATGAACGCCTACTCAGCCCCAGGCCCTACTCTTTGGCATGTGACCTTCCAAAGCCTGACAAAGTGTGTAAGGGCTATGACACCTCCCCTCAGAGGCAGTACCTCATGTTGCCCCCTCCTGACTCTAAGAGCAGCTCTCAGCCCTTGGCCAAAAGTTGACCACTTCCTTTTTCTCTTCCCAGATATACTGGTGGCCCTTCTCCAACAGACTCTGGAGGTTGGTGATGGCTCGACTGCCTGCTGTGGCTGGCACAGTTCACATGCTGACAGGAGCTCAAACTGCCCTGAAGGACGAGGTAAGAGGTGGGGTGGATTTTTCCCTGTTGTAAAGGCATTTGGTGAGTGTTTACTTCCTGACAAACAGTCAGGCCAATTTCAGCCCTACCATCCCAGAGCAGCTTTGGTAAGAGGCCAGACAGTTGGAATTTGGGCAGTTTTCTTTTTGAATGCCGTGCTTGGGGTGAGGGGAGGGGGGCTTCCTCACCCTCTTTCATTCTCCAGCTCTATAACAGATGCATTTCTTCACAGTATAGTCAAAGTCAGACTGAAGTGCTGGTCTGGGTGTCTTGAGGGGTGGTGTTAGTGCCATGCAAAGTTGTATGGTACTTCCAGGGTACAGCTTCTATCAACCAGGTCTGCTCTTTGTGGGGGAAAGGCACTGGGCCAACCCCTATCTGAGAAATGGTAACAAAGACAAGCATGGGCATAACCCCTGGTCAAAGAACTGTTTGCCCTCAAAGTCAACTTGACTCAGGAAGTCAACAACTGTTCCCAAGCTAAGATGCCATATATCAGGAATGGTCAAAGCCCTGTTGACTTCTCTCAACAGTAATGGAGATGGGTGGGACAGGAGCAGGGGGAGCAAGAATCATAATTTGGGTCAAGATAGCCAGGCAAAAAATGTTCCGTATACAATTTCCAATAAGAAATTTAAAGGGAATTCTCTTGTATGGGTGATTAATGAGAGGTCAAGCCTGGCAAGATTAGCCTGTTGCAATGTCTTCCTGACAGCATGCTCTTCATCAGTATTTCTAACCCAGTTTAACAGGAAAATAACATGGATATAGAAGGGAGACTGTCATTCATTCCATAAAGGGCTGCAACTGCCATGCAAATCCTGCAGCCTGGCAGAGTGGGGGTGGGTCACAGTCTTTTCTCCCAAGAAGCTTGGTCTTCAGATGATGCCAAGAACTTGGCTAACTGGAAGAGAAAAGTTCCTAAGACAGCCCAGAACACCAGATAAGATGCCTTTGGTATCCTGTCTCAGGAGTGCAAACCCAGAGTCTCTTTACAGCATCCAAATGACAGGTAGACAAGGTGTAAGAAACTTTTTGTGTTGGGGATTTGGATAGAGAGTTTTCCCTTCTAAGAACCTGGGATAACTCAAGCTCTGCAAAGTCTGAAATCCCCTCTCTTGCTAGCTGGGATAAATGGACCTTCCTTCTCTATCCTTTCCCTGTACCACCTAAAACTCCAACCCCTATAGCCAAGTCTAATTTAGGTTGTTTATCCTCCCTTATCTCGATTAAAAGACAGTGTTCCTTATGATGAGATTACAAAAACTTCCTTTAGAGAAAAAAAGAACAAAAATTCAAAAGTGTCTGCAACTCAGGCAGTCGCAAGCTGAAGAAAGAAGGAAGAAATCCTATCATTCCAGAGCCCAAGAGTCTATGGCAGAGTCAACGATAGAACCTTGTTTTTGTCTTCTGTTTGTAACTGGACAAATTTAATCACTCCATTAAAGGTATTAGTGTTTTTGTTTACAACCCAAGCTATAGCAGGTCAGGTTAAATGGGCCCCCATCTGGTTATGATACCAAATTCCACAGCAATAGGCAATGAGACACATGCTACTTGATCCTCTCTAAGGACAGCTAGCTGGGAAAAATAGCTTACAGTCATCTGATGTAATGGTGGCAGCTATGCCAAGACTGAAAGGAATGGGGGTAGGGAGGATCTGTACCATGATTTCACATTGCTAGCAGCAAACAAGTCCCCCATCCCCAAATGGGAGGCAGTGCAGACCTGGCTGCTCATCAGTGGTTCATAATTCACTGGGGGGAAGGGGCTGGGGGCTGCTATTCAGCCTGTGTCAAGGATGCATCACACACACACACACACACACACACACACACACACACACACACACACACACACACATTTTTCCCCACTAACTTGGCAACTGGAATAGGCATAAAATTACAGCATCCCAAACTTTTGGTGTGAGTTACAAAAAGAAACCCCAAAAGCAAAAACTGGAGTGCAGCAACAGCAGCAATCTCCCTGGGTAGATGCACTTGAGCTGAACATGGCCATAGATGGCAGAAGAGGGAAGTGGGAAAACAAGGGTGAAAACTCGTAGGAGTTTTCCTTGGCCAAAAGGATTTTCTAATTAAACAGCAACCCCCACCCCCCACCCCCTTGCCCAACCCCTGATCCCCATTCACATGCTCAGGCCCCGTGCCCCCTCTCCAGAACTGATGATGACTATTTGACTAGGTTTCCATTTACTGCAGTGGAGGAGTAGTTGGTAGGGAGAGTGGCACCCTGCTCGGCCCTCTCCTTTGATAGGTCAAGAGTGGAAGGCCCACAGTGAGTGGGCTGAGGCTGTGGGGGCTCAGGTCGGACCCTGGGCAGTTGAGGAATACCATGGGTGATGCCCACAGGCTTGGCCTGGAGCAGAGGGCTGGGGTCGAATCCTACAGAACTGGAGGAGCAACCGCGCTTACTGACAGGCAGCAGCACATCTCGAGGTGGAGCCCTCACACTCTGGGAGGCCTGTGACTGAAGGCTATAGCAAGGCCCCATGGGTAGGGGAAGGTGTGAAGGCCGAGCTAGCTGAGGCCCAGATTCCCCTGGTGCCTTTGGCTCTGGCCCAGGCACTGAAAGCGACACTGACATGGCCACAGGAGGTATGCAACAGGCTGCCTGTCCATACAGAGACTGGCTAGAAGCCTCATCCAGCTGGCTGAGACTTATCCAGGCAGGGCCTGGCCCCACTGGAAGAGGACAGGAAGCCCAGGAAGACCAATCATAGGCCCCCGGGGGTTCAGTATAGAGGGACAGGGGACTGTCTCGGCTCCATTCCCCTTCTTCCTCCTCTTCATTATCTTCATCTGAATCTTCTTGCTGGGCCTGAAGCTCATCAGACTCCAGGTAGCCCTGGGCCAAGTGAGAATTGGAGAGCTCCAGCTCCAGAGTCTCTGCAGTATCAAGGGAGCGGCTCCTCCTATTTAGGGCCATAGTGGCAGGTGGAGGTCGAGAATGCATGCCCGGCAATCCCAGGTATCGAGGGAGGCTGCTCACACCCCAGGGCAGGCCTTGGTAGAATCGGCTGCGGTAGTTGTTGAAGGCATGTTTGTGGTAGTAGCCCAGCTCAAAGGCTTCCAAGGAGGCTGCAAGGTCTTCATCATTGTGGAACTCAGGATTCTCTTCACACTTGCCTTCCCCATCCCGTTCCACATCAGCAATGTCAAAGGTCACCATGGGTGGCAGCTCAGGGAGGTTTTGAGTGAAGGACGAGTCAGAGTCAGAGCTGCAGGACATGCTGGAAAAGAGGTTTCCATTGCTGGTGAACTCCACCAGGGCCTGTGAGAAACTCACAGTGGCATTCCCTTCCTTTTCAACCTCCTCTTCCTCTGGTTCTTCAGGGGGTGAGTAAGTAGGGTAGGCTCTCCTGGGAGATCCTCCAAAATTCGCTTCTTGCATATCTGGTTCAAACATGGCATCACTCTGGAAGAGATGCATCAGGCAGGTACTTTGGTCTTTCTTAGAGCAGGTTCCCTCAAAACGTTTCTCCAGAGGACGGAAGTCCCTCCAGTCTGGCTCACTGCTTGCGGTGGCAGGGAAAGCTGATGCAGTTTTCCGATGGGAAGTCTGAGAAGCTCCTGATGCTCCTGCCACTAGACCCATAACTGATGGGCCTAAGGGCCTCATCTGATACTCCAAGACAGGCTTCTCCTGCCAGGTCTGGGCCTCTTGAAGGTGAATTTCTTTAGAACGAGCATCTTGGGGCTGGGTTTCCCGGGTTCGGGTCTCCCTGGCATGAGCTTCCCGAGTGTGGGCCTCTCTGACATAAGCCTCCCTGGCATGGGCCTCTCGGGCACGTGCCTTCTGGACCTCAAGCTGCTCTCGCCGAAGTTCCCAATACAACAACTGTTTCTGGATGGTCACTAGCCGTTCCTCCTCTGTCTCCATTGCCCCAGGTGGACGGGAAGAAGAAAAGGGCTCAAAATTCAGGAAGGGGTCAAACATTTCAGAGCTATGACCATGGAGGTCATAAAGGCAGTCATCCCCAGGTGGGGAGTTCTCTAGACTGTCATCTGGTTCATAGAACTCATATAGTGCATCTCCACTGTAGCTGTCTCGGGGTAGGCAATCCCTGCGTACAAGCCCCAGGGCATCACCTGAGTCATCCTCAAATCCAGGTGTAGTGGAGTCATAATAACCTTCATCACTATTGGGGGCAGATTCTTGCTGGTCACTCTGAGGAGTCAAAAGTTCTCCAGAGGCTAAGCCAGGATAAGATTGAACTGGGTCAAGCAGCATATAGCTGTGGTGTCCTGGGGATGTGATGGGATGGTAGCCCAGGTTGAGATTAGGCCTTGGGTACATCTGGGCACTTGCCCACAGATATTCTAAGTCATCATCTTCTTCCTCCTCCTCCTTAACCTCCTCTTCTTCCTCCTCTAATTCTACCTCTTCTTCTTCCTCTTCTTCCTCCTCATCATCTGGCAAGGCCATCTCCTCCCCACCTCCTTGGTAGGTCACCAGGCAGGAACTTCGCTTGGTCCCATCTCGGTTGGCCCTCTGGCCCCCAGAGGCCATGCTATCTGTCATACTGTCCATGTCTTGTTCTGCTATAATGTCGCCACAACCTGTTAGTGAGTCAAAGCTTTTCAGGGATGTAACATCCCCAAATAGGAGGCTCAGCTGGTCCCCCCCAGGGCCACTGGGTGGATTTACCTCTCCTGTCACCACTTTCTCCCCTGTTTCAGGGCTATGGGGCTCCTCTGGGCCATTCGCATCAGGGGCAGGCTTGGGTTGTGCAAGTACTGAAGCATAGGCCTCTGTGGGTGTATCGGAATCTTTACAAGCCACCTTCTCAGAAGCTGGTGGAGAAGGCTCTGGTGATGGAGAAATTTTTGGCCCAGGGACATCTTGGGGTTTAGCATTTTCCTTTCTAGGGGCTTGGAAGGTCTCCTCAGAGTAGAGCATCTGAGGGGCTGAATTCACATGCTCATGAGGCCTGGCTCTGATCTCCTCAAGCCCCTTGACCCCTGACTCACTTTGTTCAGGCCCAGTGACTTTGCTCTTCCGATTTCGGCGGATACTGCTAAAAAAGCCTTTTAGGCCTTTCTTTGGCTTGGGCATGGAGGAAACCTTCTCAGTCCCAGCTTTCTCTGTGGCTCCACACACAGATGTCTTACATCTAGAGCCTGTCTCCAAAGCCCCATGGGCACTGTGGGAGCTGGGAAATTGGCAAGGTGACTCAGGTAAAGGTAAGGAGAAGCCAGTTCCTTCACTGACAACATCTTCAGGGCCACAGACTGCTTCACTCAGGCCATCATGGGTCTTGCTCTTGCTGAGACCTTTCTTGGAACTGCCTTTCCAAGAACCTTTGCTTCGTCCCCCTCCAAAGAAACTAGGCAGAGTACAGATACCCCTTTTGCCACCAAAGAGCTTCATGGCAGTTTTCTTCAGCCTACCTGGGCCAGATGAGGATGGCTCTGATGTTGGTCCTTCTATCACCTCAGCTGCCTTGTTCTTGGCTTCTTTTTCTACCCCTTGGTCATGGGTATCTCCAGAGGCTACAGCTCCCTTGGCCTGAGCAACTTCATCCCTTCGGGTCTCCATAGTGATGGGGACAACTCAGGTATGTTCAACTGGAAATGCAACCTTGGGCTTCCAGGCACTGTTATAACATCATCAGTAAGGAAGCATCACAGTGGGGTCTGGAGGAGATGAGAGACACAAAGAGACAAATACTGGTGAGCAAGCACTGAGGCTGGATTTGTTTTCACAGGTGTTTGTGGTCTCAAGTTTGAGTGGAACTAGAGAGAAAGTAAGAGAAAATGTGGAGCAAACCTTGATTCACTCCATATGCTTGGCTTACTAGGCCAGCCCCCTCTAGGTCCCAAGGCAGTGAAACCCTACACTGAGCAATAGGTGGCCTTCATCCTCTACCCCCTCACCAGGTCCACTCTCTCAGATCACCCTAAACTCAAGGGAGCACTGGGGCAGGTGACCTGCAGATGTATGAAATGAAAGGCCCAGTGGTGCTATTGGCTGTAGAAGAGATTATCAATGATTAAAGAAGGCAGGGATGGGGAGAGGCAAGAAAGATAAGAGGGAGGTCAGCTCTAAATCACAAAATTTTTAAAAGGCATCTGGCAAAATAGCCCACTGAGTCCTTCCTTGGTTCTATTGGACTCAGGCCTCAATTTCACATTAGCCTAGACGCTTGCTGACATTTTGCTTGGGGCTGGAAAGAAAAGTAGTCCTGAAGTTTCACCTCCTGTCCATAGGCTTCCTAAATTGCTCATAGAACAATACTCAGACCTTCAGAACCCCAGAATAGGAGCCTCGGACCCACAGATAAGGCTGCAACCCAGAACCTGCTAAGGTGACAATATGGGGGCCTCAGACCATCCAAGAGGCCTACCAATACTTGTCTCTCAGGAAGATTATGTGAGGGGTGGGTCTAAGTCAGACTTTTTATTGACTATCTAGCTGGGAAAATATTTTAATGTGGCCCTTAGCAACTGGAACCCCCAAACTCCACTTTAGAACTATGAAGTAGAGTATTTCTCCTCTCCTCATTATTTTGGTTTCCATCTACCTCCCTGTCAAGGAAGGGAATACCTTGAAGGCCCTGCATGATTCATGTTCCTGGTCTGGGAGATGGGTTCTCAGTGGCTATTTAAAGAAATAAACTTGGTGCAAGCCATACACTTCTGGTCTAGGCTTCCAATTCTCCAAACACCCAAGTGCCAACAGAGATGGAATAAAAAGGAGGGCTAACCACCAACCACACCTAAACAACTCCCCTCCCCCTCTGACTCCAGGTCTTGTATATTTCAGTGACTGTAGATGGCCCACAGCTGGATCAGTGACCAGTCTGCTAAAACCCAATGACCTCTCACTGGAAAGTCTCTCACCACTGTGTCCCTTCTTTGTAGAGTAGCCACAGACAGGCCAGCACATCAGACCTGTGATTGGTTGTCGCAGCAATAAGACTCACACATACACCTTCAGTGGGAACCTATGGACCAGTACTGGGGATAAAGAGAGGATAGCAGCTAACTCCAGCCTCTGAGCCCTTCCTGGAGTCCATGGCCCTGTCTTGCAAACACTAATTCTGTGCCTAATGCCTTGCTTGGCTTGGCACTTGAATTATCAGTGTGATGCAAGTGTCCATCAAGAGCACTTTGTAGAGTTGAATATTAAAATTGGAGCAAGATAATGGCTGGTTATCCAGAAAAAAGAAGGGGGTGAAGGGAGCTCATCTGATCCCCAATCTGAAAAGATCTGTATTGGCATTTGCTTAGGTTAGGGGTTTTTCTGTGTGACATATCCCAACTCAGCCCTGCAAATGGTAGCCCCACAATAGACAGCAACTCCTCTCACCCTCAACTATACACATAATCATACTTATACACAAAATCACCCAGAGTTCTCTGCCCTGGGGCTTGATGAGAATAGGGGCCCTATCATCTATCTGAATTCCCCACTTTTGATAGGACAGATGCTTTCACCTCAGCCCTGAAATTACTGCAAGGGTTGGAGTTGTCATTATGGTGTTGGCCCTGGGGGAGTTGGGGTGGCAGTAATGGAGTTGTTTGTGAAACTGCATCCCCTCTGCAGAATTCAAAAGCCAAGAAGGGGGAAACCCTGGTCCTTGCTTTTAGGGTGCTCCTAGGCTAATAGGGAGAGTTCTATATGTAAGAGTTTGAAGATACAACATGATGCAAGCTTTCCAGAACCTTGATACCTGAGTTGGAGGGCAGTCCCTTTGGGCCTTCTCTTGCCTTTGCACCTGTGCTCCATGGGGGTAAAGACTTGCTTACTTACCACAGCCTATATTGTCCTCTTCCTTGCCATAGGCAGTTGTAGTATATTGTGGAAGGAGCCATAGGGCACAGGGCTGGGGTCCAGGCTATGTCAGCCTCCTATCTGCCAAGGGACTTTAACAGGCTAAGGTAGCCCACTGAGCCTCAGGTACTTGTGAGCTATTTTGAGAGCAAAACAGTTCCTCTACTTATCCCCTTATTACCTCATTCCAATTGCAGTGGTGTGAGGATTAGATGTGGTAATAGGCACCAAAAAGCACTCTGTGAACTATAAAGTACAGTAAAACGAGAAATATTGGCATTACTGTTATTATTACTCCTTCTGAGTCAGATCCCAGTTTCATAGGAAGTAGCAGATCATGTGTAAAAGGCTGCTCATGAGGGAAAGCCATTCGCTGTGGGGAGCTAAGGGACTAGCTGCCCTGGCCTATGCTGAGGGAGATTTTAAAGACATGTATGGATCTATACAAGTCCTCGCTAGGAGCAGTTTAAAAAGTGCTTTGTGTATGTGGTGGGAGTGGATGAACCAGGCAGGGTTGTGTCCCTGGGACAGAGTTTCTCTCCTCCCTAGTGTAGGCCCTCTACATAACCAAGACCAGAGTCATCTTTGCTGACAAGTACCAGCCTTGACACCGGGCCATCTATCTTCCTGCCTTGTCCCTCTCAGAGCCATGTACCCCGTAACCATACATAGTGTCTGTGCCTGTGTCCCCTAGGACATTAAGAAGGAAGGTGGCAGAGGTCACTCATAACTAGCAGCTCCCCAGCTAGCTCACTTTGCTACCTCTGTTCCAGGCCTCTTCTCCATACTTCTTGCTATCCCGCCAGGTTCCACAGCTATCTTTGCTCAGTGGGCTATGCTGCCTTTCTTAAGACCACAGGAGTTCACCAGGAGAGTGAGGTGGGGGCAAAAAGCAAAAGGAACAGCAAGGGACAGACTCTGCAGCTTCCCTAGACTGGGGTTGGCTTCCTTCAGTATTTCTGCCAAGAAAGTGGCACTGCCAAATGCAGGGCGTCTCAAACCTCAGGTTTCTCCAATATGGCTAACTAAGTTTCGAGTTTACTAGTGGGTAAGAGAACTCTCCCAAGCTACTTTGTGGTCCCTGGCAGGGGATGCTTGCTGCAGCTAGTGCTATCATGGCAGGAAGCAACTTGTGGTAGAAAGTGCTAGGGCCACCCCAGCTCCCCGGACCAGCCTCAGGTCATTCCAGGACCAGTGGAAGGCTGGTTATAAGGGCAGAACTTCTTTTTCCACTCCACTCAAAACACAGGCAGGAGACCAGCTACAAACCTGATCCAGAAACCCTTCTTGGGGAAGAAGAGACAGCTGCTGCCTGAGTTTTGCACACTCTGTTCCCAAACCAGTTTCCTGGGGCCAGCTCAGCCAACTTAGAGAACTGAGTTAGGGAAGAAAGAGAAGTGTGTGGATTTATGTGGTAGCTCCAGAGGCATGGCCTTGACCAGTCACAGTTCCCTAGCCCTCTTTCAAGCAGTCCTCCCGGAGGCAAACCCACTCCAGGCCCACTTGTCCTTCTGTATGTTGAGTGAAGGATAAGGAAGGAGTGGTGAGGATGGGGAGTCTATCCCCCCAGAGAGCCAGCCAGTTCTGCACCAGAATCAGCTCTGCCTAGCTGGGGAAAATCCAACAAGGCATTTCACATGTTTACACCTCAGTTTCCTCAACTGTAAAATTGAGAGTGCCTACCTCTTAAGGCTATTGTAAGAAGTAAAACCAATGCATATAATGTTGCAAATAAAATGCATTACATAGCAGAAGTTCAAACATTATAGCCACTAACTTTTATAAATATTTTATTCAAACTATACTTTGACCATTTCTAGCAGTGAAAATGATCTCAGTCAGGGTAGAGTAGGATGCAGTCCAGGATTCCATGGGCAAATCATCAAACCTCCTTGGGACCCAGTTTCCCCAAATGGTAAATGAGGATAACTGTGTGGTCATCTCACAGGAAGCTTTACTTGTTCATGCAGCCAAATTTTGATATTCAGGGAGCCAAAAGGGTTAGTTACTGACTAGCAGCCCTGGATTATCTGGGAACTTTAACTAGCCAGGTTCTCTAGCCCAGGCCAGAAAGTTCAAAATTTTAAACTCAGCTAAAAGTACCAACATCAAAGATAATGCAAATCATCAGATACCCTTCACTAACTCAGGGAACTTACCAGTTTACAGAGCACTACCCACTCCCCAACTTTCTATTTACACTTTCCAGCAACCCATTAATCTGGCCTGATGGGGAATGGTAACTCCTTGCCACAGAGAAGGAAGCTGTGCCTAGGCTTGGGAAAAGATTTGTCCAAGGTCACACAGTGGGATAGTGACAGATCCATACTAGCTCCCAGATCTTTTGAGTCCCAATTTCATGCCATTCTGCTGCATTATGCAGGCCACCAACCAAAAGAGGAAGAGCGAGGAGTGCAAAGGTTCTCCTCACACCTGCAAGAGCCATCATCTCCCCATCCCATCCCACCTCTATCCTAGCCAAGCTGAGCCTTCTCTGCAGCATTTCCAGTCCTCACTGGCTGCCACTGTTTGGGCCCCACCCAGCACATTCCAGAAAGCCTGCTGACTTCAGAATCCAGGGGCCCATAACCCAGTCTGTGGCTGCTCTCTTCATCAGCAACCTTACCACCAATCCTCCCAAATTATAGAGCATGTACCCCTACTCCCCTTTTCCTGAAACCTGCCAATGTGGAAAAATATGAAGAATTAGAGCTATTTAAAGAGAATAACCTCTGAGAGATTATCTGGAACTTAAACAGTCAATTTCTAAAGCCCATAGCCAATGTCTACTCTCAAAACTGTATAGGGCCTGACGGAAGTGCTTTCCAGCGTAGTACTCGCTGATGGTGCTGGCAGCCAG